CAATAACCTCCGACCCCTCCTTGTCAGGTTGAATTTTAAATCTCATTTTATTTTTGTACACAGCTATAAAACAAAATGTTTGTGGAAAAAAAAAAGAATTTTGAAACATGTTTTAGAAATTTTACAGACCCATTTTGAAAGGCATGTGGATGAAACACCATGTGACTGTGTTTTGGCCATTTCTATGAATGGATCAACCTGAGCAGGTGTCCCGCCGGGCTCAAGGGGTTAAACGCAAGGAACGGACGTTAAACAAACCACGCCAGTCGCTTCTGATCTAACGAGCGGAAACAGCCGTTTACATTCGATAAACATGGAGTAGCTCTGGTGGGAGGGATTCAGATAAAAGAGCGAAACGTTAAAGCACTCCGATTACGCCCTGGCTTCTCCGCCTTTTCCCGATTTCTGTCAAATGTGTTCTGATGTGTGTTTGGCTGCAGTTTGAGGAGCAGCAGGCGTTCGAGCGCAGCCGGCGGTTTCTAAGGCAGTTGGAGATCAGTTTCGGAGATAATCCGTCACACTACCAGAAGATCATCAAAGCTCTGCAGACCGGGCCGGACCTGAGTCCATCCAACATCCAGGAGGTACCACTTTGATCAGCCGGTTCTGGTCCAATCCGACTCCGCCGATCTGTGGGTCATAATGTTCGGTATTCCTTCTGTTTCTTTTAGCTTAAAGCCCAGATGGCAACGCTACTTAAAGGCCACACCCACCTCCAAGCTGAATTCTGGGTATTTTTTGACGATCTCCGCCCGCCGCCGACTCGGCCCGAGCAGTTCGAAGAGGCTCATCTGCCAGAGGAAGGAGAAGGTGGAGAAGGAGGCGGCCAGGTGCCGGGAGGAGGAGCCGACGGAGGCTTTGAGGAAGTGACGCTGCCGGACCTGGAGGAGGAAGAGGACGGACACAAGATTCGACCAATAGCGAGCCGGCGCCAGAGGAGGAAACTGGAGTCCCACCGAAGCTATAAGGTGTGATTAATGCTGCGTTCACACTGTTGCTCTGATTGGTATCAGGTGCTCTGTTCTTTTCCTTCACTCTTCGAAAGCCGCTTGGCTTTTACACCAGAAAATATCTAAATCTAGATAAGTCATTTTTTTTTTTATAAGTGGAATAAGGAGGAAAAAGAGACATTTTGCCAATGGAACAAGACAATTTACATTTAAAATAAGAAAACACGATTGCATTGTCTTATTTCAAGTGCATTTTATCTAATTATCTTATTTTAAGAGTAAAAATACTCATTCCATCAAATTTACCTTTCAAATTAAGGGTAAATACACTTCATTTAAGAAATTTTAATTATTATCTAGATCGTTTTTCCAGTGTATTGAATATTGTAGTGAAGGGGGAAAATATTTTTACAGATTTTAAAGTAAGAAAGCTCACCTAAAACTGTCATTTGAGGAGTCGGTTCATCAGGATATAAAACTTGGAACTAAACGCTATTTCTGGCATTTTGAAATGAAAAAGCTTCCTGGATGAGAAGCGAAACGTCTTCAAACTTGGAAACAAAGTCCAGTGGATTGTTTTTTAACTTTTTTGGACTGACTCTGACATGACTGAGAATCTTCAGAGGTCGTTCTGTGGAAACGACCCAGATGAGATGGTTTCACTGCAGCATCAATAAAAATCAAATCAGTTTGTTTAGAAACAGCAGCTTATTTAGTCTATATTAGCTTTTTAGAATCAGTGTAATGAAACTTCAAACAGATTGATTGACAGGTGATGTCACCTCCCTTTATGAAGGTTGGAAAGAAGATAATATTTATCAGCAATGAATATCAGAACTACTTCTTTAAACTGACACTTTTTAACAAACTGTCACTAAAATGTGATTTTTAAATTTGACAAAGATTCTTTGCTCTTAATGTTTTTTAACATTGATCATATAATTATTGCACAATATGAATTAATACGTGAAGTTTAGACCATCTGTATCCATCACAGTTATTAGTTTAATACCAAGAAGTCATTTTGGTAGATTAATAAACAGTTGTTCCTTTTTTTTTTTCATTATTTATATTTTTTTTTTGCATTTTTTGGCGTTAAAAAATATTAATATTAATAAAATAACATCCTTAGATATTTGTTGAAATTCTAACCATTGATTCTTGGTCTTGGTGGAACCACTTTTGACTCAATCCCTGTTTATAAGGATCCTGCAGTGATCCAGGAGTTTGGGATCCTATTTTAGAGAGGACCAGTGCCCCCTGGTGGACAGAAATGTAAGCAGAGTTCTGATCAATAAAACAGTCTTAATCTTTCATGGCTGGTTTTAAACCAGTTTGTAGATCCAGTCCACCAGGGTTACACACTCTGAATGATGTGCTCAGGAAAACGGGTCCTTAAAAGGCGGTGCAGATATTTTTGTTCTAAATAACAAGAAAATTTAATTAGTCTAAACTTCAGCTTCTAAAAATGAAAAGGACTTCTGTTTATGTCCTTATGCTGACATCTTTCATAATGATATATATAATAATAATAATTGCATTTTGTGAGAGCTCTGATTGGTTGAGAGGTAGAGCTTTCCTTGCCTTGACCTTTGACCTCTAATTGTACACTGTGATGACAGGTCCAGGTGAAAGGAGAGAAGATCTGCGATCCTAAACCTGAAGTTGTCTTAATAAGACTTCTTAGATCTGAAAATGAACCAAAACACAAAACGTTTAGACCTGACGGTTGTCTGTGTCCGCAGGGCTCTGATTGGTCCGACAAAGGCTGGTTCTGTCTCTGCCGTGATGCGAAGATCAGTCGACATCGAAGGAAAAGATGCTCTCGCTGCCATGGCAACAAGGTTTGCAATTTTATCTCTGTCAGAATTAAATTCTGTTTTGCTGTTTCAACATGGCGACACGTCAGCCATGTTGAAATCTATTTACAGCGGAGCATCAAAGGCCTCATGTGTTTATCAGGTGTAAACAGCAGCTTCTCAGTAGTTTGTCTTCTCAGAGTGTTCAGACGGGTTGCCCTGACCAATATGGCTGCCGTGTGATGAGTCTGTAGCCTGAATGCTGGTGAAAGTGACTCCGGTGTGGTTTCCTCTCAGGCCTCAGCAGGTTTACCCAGAGCGTTGAAGAGCTTAGACCCTCTTTACTCTCAGAGTCGCTCCAGTAGCGACCAGACGGCCGACAAACACCTGGACCTGAAGGCCGACGACTGCAGTCCACTCCCAGGTTAGTGACCAACGTCTCTGTTGGGGCAGAACCTGAGCCAGCTGGGTTCTCACCTCACTGTTTGGGTCAGCAGATCAGACTGGTGCATCGTGGGAAAGCTTCCCTCTGGCTGATGAAAAGGAGGAGGAAGAGGAGCAGCTAAACGATGAAGAACCGGAGGGCCCCACAGTGAAGAGGAGAAGAGAGGAGGAGTTATGCCCAGAAACGGTCTGCGCCACCGTCACCACCTCAGACACCTCCTCCACCTTGGTCGCCTCTGCCTCCTCCTTCCCTTGTGAGGATGCTCCACCCATCACCGACTCCTCTGCTCCTTCTCGGCCCAGCCCACCTCACGAGCTTCCTGTCTGCGCCAAGAACATTTCTCTGACTGCGAGTGGAGAGAAGGTGATCCTGTGGACCAGGTGAGTCTCCACCTTTACCCACGTCTTGTTTGTTTGACCTTAAAGGAATAGTACACCCAAAACATGATTAGCCTTCATTTTCTACTCACCCCCATGCTGAACAACACTCTGGAGTACTTTTTTGATA